TTTTTGTATTTTTGGTAGAGAAGGTCTTTTGCCATGTTGCCCAGGCTGGTCTTCAACTCCTGGGCCCAAGTAATCCAGCTGCCTCAGCCTTTGAAAGTGCTGGGATTGCAGGTGTGAACCACTGTACCCCGCCATAGCAGCAGCATTTTTTATGTCCTCAAATACTGGAATCTTTGGTTACTGCCATATCAGCAAAGAAGCCAATCATTTTAAGAATGTTTTAAGTGAACACCTTGCAAATCCTAAGGATATCTACCTATTTTTTTTAACCTTGTTTGTATTTTAATAATCTGCCTCAAACATGCCTTTTGAAATCAGGGAAGATATAGAAAAATTAATAACAGCAACTGATAGGATTCAATTCACCACACTGAAACATGTTTTTGTAAATGAGATAAAAATCCTTTCCTGACTACAGGGTTATCTCACCTGTTAGTTCTTTTCACTGCAGGGGAGAAAACAAACAAACAGGCAAAAACCTTTTCCTCTACCCTCTTAGGTTCAGTGTCTGGGGCCTGAGAATTAAACTGGCAAAAGACAGATTAACAGGGGAAAAGGCATCTATTTTATGGATGTTAACATTTTTGCATACATGGGAGCTTCACAGAAAAGAAGAGAAAACCTAAAGAAGCAGTTAGACTTGGGAGCTTATAGATCATTTTAACAAAGGGGGATAAATTGTGGCCAGGTGACTGGACAAAGGAAAGGGGTTTGGGCTTCTAGGGGTGAAAAATTGTAGGAAAGTGACTAGGAAGTATATAGGGAAAGAAATGGAAAGCAAGGGTCGCTTTAGTAAGGTGTCTTTATACCAACTCGTATCAGTGCCAGCTTTCTGTCTCTAGTGATAAATCACTTTCTTCATTCTGGTACAGGAGAGGGGTGGAAATTTATGCCACCTTCACAAAGGGAAATTTATGTCCTGCTTCTAGGCAGAAAAGGAAAGGGCAGAGAGCCGTTCTTACAACTGCTATTTCTCCATTGCTTTCAGCCCAAAATAATCATATGCCAAGGTGGCATACTTTGGGGTAGTATAACCTGATCCCCTTCACCATATCACTTCTTTCTTGCCCTGTGGCTGTGCTCAGAGATGCCCTGGGGTTTCAGTGTTGATCTTCCAGAACAGCCATATGTGTCCTGTTAGGAACTATGATCTGTTGGTTAAGAAACAGCCACCTAGATAAAGTTCAAAGAATTCTGCAATCCAGATTGTGTGTGTTCCTAAATGTGGTTTGGCCTGGAGAAACAAGGACCAGGAAATCATGGAAAGCCAGGCAGATGGGAGTTAGAGAGCCTGGCAAGAGTCCTAAGCAAGTGCTCCGTGCCCCCCCTCCCTCTTCCCCCTGCCCATCTCTCCAGGAAGTGGCACTCAAACTCAAGCATGTGTGAGAATCACACAGAAGGCTTATGAAAACAGATACCAGGTCTTTGCCCACAGAATTTCAGATTTAGTAGATCTAGAATGCCCAAACATTTGCAATTCTAACAAGCGCTCTAGATGTAGCCTTGCTTCTGGATAGGGACACACTGAGTAGCACTCTCCTAGGGTGGTGAGACTGTCTGTCTTCCAGTCAGGCTTTGAACTGACAAAAGACAGATGAACAGAGGACAAGGCATGCATTTTATGGATGTTAATATTTTTACATAAATGGGGGCTTCACAGAAAAGAAGTGAAGAGCCAAAGAAGCAGTTAGACGTGGAGCTTATATGTCATTTTAACAAAGGGAGCTAAATTGTGGCCAGGTGATTAGATGCAAGAAAGGGGTTTGCGCTCCCCACTCTTTCTCCAGTGGGGAGAAAGAAACTGCTGTGGGTGAAGTTTTCCTGGGGATCTGGAGGAGGAGAAGGGGCCATGCTCATATCTGAATCTAGGTGCTAGAAAGAGAACAGCTGAGATTTTCCATAAACTGTCAGTACTAGTCAGGATGAATCAGAGTGAATCTTTGGAATAGAAAAAAAAAATAAAGATTTTGCTTTCTCATCATCATAACGCTCTTCTATTCAGTCTATGCATAGCTAGTGCAACCTTTTGCTCCACCCAACCAGCTCCATTCCCTTTACCAATTATTTATAATATGCTTGGGTCACTCACGGGAGGAAAACACTGTCAGCATCAAGAGGTAGCAGCATTTTCAAAATATATTTTGCTGTCTTGAACAAAAATCTTAACTATTTATTAGTCAGTAGTTCCATATGGTCTTATACTTTTTGTTGAGTCATAGTCTCCCTCTGTCACCCAGGCTGGAGTGCAGTGGTATGATTTCTGCCCACTGTAACCTTCACCTCCTGGTTTAAGTAATTCTTGTACCTCAGCCTGTAGCTGGGACTACAGGCATGCGTCACCATGCCCAGCTAATCTTTCGTATTTTTGGTAGATATGGGGTTTTGCCATGTTACCCAGGCTGGTCTAGAACTCCTGACCTCAGGTGATCCGCCCTCCTCAGCCTCCCAAAATGCTGGGATTACAGGTGTGAGCCACCATACCCGGCCTGGTCTTATTACTTCTATACATAAGATAGGATCTTTCAATATTTATGTAGGTGAATATTTCCCATGTTTTTTGAGGATTCCCAAAAGACTTTGGGGGTTGCCAAAAAACTTTTAGGGGTTGAATCTTTTCACAGTAACACAAAGGGGAAGCATCAATCCGTGAAAGTTCAGACCAGCAGTTTAATAACACCCTCTCCATAGCTCAGTTCCCAGTACATGAAGAGATTCAAAGCAATCTTCTTGCTCTCAGTTCTTAGAAAGAAAAATTTGAGAGAGATAAAAGCAGTAATTATCTGTATTATTTAATAACTTAAATGTAATAACCTAAGAAAAAACAGATGTCAAAAATATATAGTCTAAAAAAAATTAGAAGCCAAATCCTTTCCTCCTAGGATGTCTGAAAAGGATAGATTCTATGGAGTGTGGATGAAGATAAAAAGGATTCCTACTATGAAAGATGAACTGTGGATTCCTACTATGATTCCTACTATGAAAGATGAACCATGGACATAGTCACTTGAGACCACTGAGAGCAATTAGCCAATTTCATTGTCACCAGGAGGGCACATACCAGAGAATCTGGGAGAAAGCCTGGGCTAGAGCCGTTAGCATTCTCAGGCCTACTGGTGCTGTGATTCAACAGGCTTTGAGGGGATGAGGAGAACCAGAGACCACCACCATCACTTGTAAAAAGCATACTATAGAAACAGCACAACTGTCAAAAATCAGCTAGAGCTTAGACTGTATGCTGTTTGAAATCTAGCCTGAGTTGCTTTCTTGTGGAGGGATTGAGACATGTGCAGAGATACTTTAAATATGTGCAGGTGGCCCTTCTTTTTAAAGGATATTTCATGAACTCTTTCTACTCATTAGTTTTCCTAAGAGTTCACCGTTTAAGCTAGAAAGATGCTGCAAGCTATCTCAGCTAGCTTCTAATTTGGACATAGCACCAATACTATATACACAATTGAACAAGTGACCATATCTTCCTGATTCTTCTTTGGACTGAATAGGTGTGATCTTGTTAAGAAAAATGTGTAGGCATAGGGCCAGATTTTATCAGTCTCCATGCCAGAAAAATGGTGGAGCATGCCTGGGCTCTTGCATAATTAAATGACTGGCTTTGTCACAACCTTATACTGTCTTATCCTGGCAGCAACTGCTTCGAGTTTACCATTCTCCTGCTGGACTAACGGTTCCCCAGAGATGTCATCAATCTCACGTACACCAGGTGGATTGAAGCCCAGGTTATATACTCTACTGCAAGGAGGGTGAATCCAACATCGGCTGAGACAATCTTTAAGTGTTTCGAATGGAATCTTCAAACTGATCACTAAATCCACTTCATAGATTTTTGTCTTCAAATCAGGGCTTCGGTTTGTCCTAACATCTTCAGAAAACCATCTGGGAGCCAGTGCTAGGCATACCTGTTCTCCAACTCTGACACCATTAGGCATGTGATCACATGGTCTGGAACCGAAAGACCGTTCTCCGTGTATTGTTTTGCCATGTCACTAACTTCGGTGTTGGCCTTGGTGTTCTCCCACAAGAAATGGCCATTGGAGAGATGCTGGAGGCCAAACTTCTGGGCCAAGAGGGGCGGCCAGAGGATGACCATGTGCAGGAGTTTGGAAGCCATTGCCTTTGGGAGGAGTGGCGAGGCCAAAGGTGCAGCCAAGACGACCAGAGGGTGCACCGAGAACTTTGTTTCTTGGCCCCGACCTCTGCCACCCTCTGCTGGCTCTGGTACTGTGGTTACTCTCCTACTCAGGGAAGGAGAGACTTTTAAGACAACCCTTACCCTCAGCCCTGTGCAGGGACCAACTCAGCCCTGTGCCAGTATTTACATTCCATAAAGTCACTGCAAACACTGAGTTAGCAAAGACTGAACCGTTGCTCCTAAAGGAAATACAGGGTTAAGTCTGGTGAGTCTCTGGTCACATTTTCGCCAATCAATACATAAACTTGCTTTATGTGTGTTTCTGATTTGGGGACACTTTATTTAACATATATTGTTGATTCATTAATTTTGAACTCACACCCAACAGCACTGTAACTCACACCTGAACAAAACTTATACAGGGTATTTTCTTTGCAAGGCACATTACAGCCTTCTTGGGCTTAAGGACACTTCAGTAACTTTATGACCAGTCTTGGGGACCATTTTAAACATTGAAATCATCAATGAAAACCATGTGGAAAACATGACATTAAATGGACCATGACTTTTTTTTCTTTTTTTTTCATTTGGAGACAGGGTCTTACTCTGTCACCCAAGCTGGAGTGCAGTGGCACAGTTATAGCTCACTGCAGCCTTGATTTCCCTGGGCTCAAGCCATCCTCCCATCTCAGACTCCCAAGTAGCCGGGACTACAGACCTGTGCAATCACGCCTGGCTAATTTTTGTGTTTTTTGTAGAGATAGGGTTTTGCTATGTTGCCCAGGCTGGTCTCGAACTCCTAAGCTGAAGGGATCCTCCTGCCTTAGCCTCCCAAAGTGCTGGGATTGCAGGCATGAGCCACTGTGCATGGCTGAAATTTTTTTCAATATGAGAGCTGAAACAAGAAGGCAGAGTCTATGTCACCTTGTTTGCCTCGGCTGGGGACGTGCACAACCAGTGACTCAAAATGTTTTACCACTCTGTGCGTGTCTGAATGACCATGAAAGTGCCATGAAAATTGATTTGGGGATTACAAATAGATTTTAGTGAGTAGACAAATTTGCAAATATAGAATCTGCAAATGATGAGGATCTACTATACCTAGACTTCACTCTTCTCCCTACTTATAATCTATTGGTACATCCCATTGACTGAACCCAAGCAGAGGTCAAAATAACCTGTCAATATCATCTTATAAAGGTCAACTTCCTGAGTACCAAACAGGGTAAGCAAGGGTGGACAATGGATCTGCAGGGGCTCTAGAAAATATTCAGCACATCATCCCACGTTATCTGTAGCCTTGAATGGGATCCCTAGGGATCTGCCCATTTTATAAGACATGAACTCACTCATTCTTTTCTTCATCAAGCGTTTACTAAGCACCTAGCAATAAGCTATGTTCTGTGAGGTGTCTAGTAGAGGCTTGAAAATATTAGAAGATGTTGACCCCATTATCTAAGGGCTCACCATCCAGAAAGAAGAGCTGATAGTCAACTGACACCTATTTGAGCACCTCCTATATTCCAGACTTTTTTAGGTGCTCAGGATATGGCAGGTCCCAAGACAAATATTTGCCCTGGCATAACTTACAGACCAGAGCAGAAGAAAGGCAAGTGGTTGAAAGACCTCACTGAAGGAGGGTTAGTGCTCTCATAGGAGCATTCACTCATCAGGGGAACAAGTAGGGCAGTGAGGGTGGCCACAGAATAGTAGGCAAGAGCTTTCTGGAGGCAAGAAAGAGTATGGATCGAAGGGCTCTGAGTCAATGCCTGGAACCCAGATTGGGGAAGTAAAAATGATGAGAGATGAAGGCATGTCTTTGCAAAAATATGATTATATTACTAGTCCCAGTGCTGAGAAGTGCCAAAGAGAAGGACAGGTTAAAGCACTGCATGAGACAACATATTCCAGAACTCCTGGCTCACTGTAATAACTTCCTCAAAGACAGGGGTTCCTATCATCCCTCCCCAGCCTCTGTGCTGCACACGGTGCCCTGCACACCTCCACTCGGTGGCATGCATTCTTCTAGCCCATAGCTGCCCTTAATTGCCTAGGGAGGCCCACCTCCTCCTCAGGAGCACAAGAGTCAGAGTGGTAAAGAGAAGTTCTCCAAAGAGAGACTCAAAAGCTTAAAGAAGGTAAAATTGTGGGGCAAGTGGGATCCTGGGGTACTGCTCAAATCACATCATGCATGGCTCTCTTTTCCCTCATGGTGGTTCTGAGGTCAGGGAAATGTTCAACAACAATGCACACACTCTCCCAGTTCAACATCAAGTAGTCATGCTCCATAGAAGTTGGAAGAATGGATGGATGATGGATGGATGGGAACATAGCAAAACCTAATTCTCTATACTGTGTGGGACCAGGCAGGCTTCAAGCAGTGGTTCCTTTCCCTCACTGAGGCTGGGAGTTCACCAAGTCCCTATATGCCTGGCTCTGCACTAGTCCCTCTCGCAGACATGAACTCATTTCATACTTCCAATTACCTTGAGAGGTGACTATTGTACACTCCATGTAATGCATGGTAGCTTAGTAACCTATTCCAAACATCATGGTTAGCAAGAGGTGAATTTAGACTTGACTCTAATGCCTCTGACTCCAAGTCATGTCCTCTCTCTGTGTTCCTTTTCCATTTGCTTCCTCTTTTCTTTTCCTTTTTCTAATTATTTAGCAGGAAGTCCTTTTGAAATGGGATCTTCTCTGTTCTAAACAGTACTTAATGGAATACTCTCCTTGGCAAAGACACTTTAATTTCTGTGAATTATGGGAGCTCTTGCTACTCTCTCGGGAGTGTCTTGTTCTTTTAACCTTTCAAAGCACTTCCCTACCCCTCATAACATTTAAACCTCCCAAGAACCATATAGGATAATTAGGTGAAGTTATGATCCGTAGTTTCAGATGAGTCAACACAGGCTCTGAGGAATTTAATAACTAATCTGAAAGTCATGCTGTCTTACCTTGAGACAAAACAAGAAAGACTCTCCAGAATTCCAGTCTCTTCCTCCTGGCCTAGAAATGGCAAGTGGGCAACATCTTTTGCTGAGAGAAGTTCCGAGGCGAAGTTCAGGGAATGAGAAAGACCCGTGATCCGTTGACAATGCCTGTCATGGGTGAGAAAAAGGAAAATGGAGGCACATGTGCTTGGTATTTGCTATCCCAACTTACCCATAACTATTTCAAAGCCTTAAGTTGTTTCTCACCTTAATGAGGAATTATGTTAATTCTCTTACAAGTAAGGCCTGGCACATAGTTGATGCTTACTACAGAGATGTACTATAATTTACTGAGTGACCGCTATTCATCAGGCACTGTGCCAGGTTACATAGCTACATTCAAGTTTATCATTACTAAGTATTCAGATTTACTAAATTTAAACATAGCCTTAGATATACTTTGAAAAAACCACACCCCTGTATTACACAGGTCTTAGTACCAGAATTTTTAATATCTTAATAAAGAATTCTTACATGCTAAATAAGCCCAACTTAAGTTTATTAAGGAAAGTATTGGTCAGGGCACAGTGGCTCATGTCTATAACCTTAGCACTTCGAGAGGCTAAGACTGGAAGATTTCTTGAGCCCAGTTTGAGATCAGCCTGGGCAATATAGTGAGACTTGTCTCTACAAAAAAAAAATATTTTTTAATTAGCCAGGTGTGGTAGTGCATGCCCGTAGTCCCAGCTACTTGGGAGGCTGAGTCAGGAGGATTGCTTGAGCCCAGGAAGCAGAGGTTGCAATAAGCTGTAATTATTGTGTCACTGTCTGTAGCCAGAGTCTGTCTCCAGAAAAAAAAAAAAAAAAGGAAGGAAGGAAGGAAGCATTTATATTTATATCTGGCATAAAAGCACTGTCAGGATTTTAGGGATGAAGTTTACTGCCAGCAGGCACAGTGAGGGCAGGAGCTCTGTTCCATTCATCTTCATGTCTCCAGTGTCTGGCCAGATGTACATTAATATAAAAATGGATGGATAAGTGAATAAATGAATGAAGCTCAGAGCCATTTGCTGATAATGCAACCAGTGACATACTATATGTCCTCTCTTTAGTGGTCATGAAAGTTGCAAGGACAATTTTATCAACTTTGGTCCACAATTTTTTTGTAGAGATGGGGGTCTCACTCTGTCGCCCAGGCTGGTCTCAAACGCCTGGCCTCAAGCAATCCTCCTGCCTCAATATCCCAAAGTGCTGGGATTACAGGCATAAGCAACCGTATATGGCCTCATTAAAAAAAAATTGTAGAGACAGGGTCTCCCTATGTTGCCCAGGCTGGTCTCAAACTCCTGGTCTCAAGTGATCTTCCTGCCTCAGGCTCCTAATAATCATGATAATGGATTATTATGGTGGTGGGTTCCCTATAAAAGGGTCAGTTCACTGCCCCACCTTCACCCTCTCTCACTCTCTCTCCTTCTGTTATGTGATGATGTAGCAAGAAGGCCCTCACAAGATACCAGCACCTTGATATTGGAGTTCCAGCCTCCAGTACTATGAGCCCATAAATTTCTGTTCATTGTAATTTCCCAGTCTGTGGTATTCTGTTATAGCCACACAAAATGGACTGAGACAGGGACCTACTAAGAAGCTATGCTCTCTGTCAAAATGTTTCTGCATTTCTGAGAGGCAGTGAACCCACAATGGCTTAGCATGCGTGTGTGTGTGTGTGTAAAAGCTAAGAAAAAGTAAAGTACAGGAGAGGGAAAAAAAGTCAGTTAATAACTCGAAGTATTATTCCAGGATGTCATCACTGGCGTTAGGCTGTGCTGAATTTGAGTTTAAAAAAAGTAATATTTAGTGAAATATATTCTACACTCTTTCTATTCAAGGAACAGGGTTGAGTTTTCAAAATCATACTTGCTGGGTTTTTTTGTTTTGTTTTGTTTTTTACTATTTTATTGAGGTATACAGTACCACCTTTAACAAGAAGGCCGGGCGCGGTGGCTCAAGCCTGTAATCCCAGCACTTTGGGAGGCCGAGACAGGCGGATCACGAGGTCAGGAGATCGAGACCATCCTGGCTGACACGGTGAAACCCCGTCTCTACTAAAAAATACGAAAAACTAGCCGGGCGAGGTGGCAGGCGCCTGTAGTCCCAGCTACTCGGGAGGCTGAGGCAGGAGAATGGCGTGAACCCGGGAGGCGGAGCTTGCAGTGAGCTGAGATCCAGCCACTGCACTCCAGCCTGGGTGACAGACCGAGACTCCGTCTCAAAAAAAAAAAAAAAAAAAAAAACAAGGAGAAAGCAGGAGCCATGTGTGTCAATCTTAATTAAAGACCTATTTGTCTTCTTTTAGAGATGGCACTAACAGCAGATTCCTTTCTCATTAAGAAGTGGACAGTTAACTGAAGACGCAGATCCACAAGACAGGGCCTCTGGAGACCTGGCAAGAGAAGGAGATGGAAAGTACTAAGCCAGTGAGGGACCCTAGGGCTACACTCTCTTCTCAGTGCAGGCAGAGCTCTAGTGTTGACCCCAGAGAAGAGCGGAAGGGTTTTTTTTTGGTCTGCCCAGAAAAAGAATAGTCCAAGGTCAAAGGGTCTGAGCAAGTGCAACAACAACACCAGGGGAGGGGGACTGCTCATTCTGTTTCTCCAGACCACCTGGGGAGGTGGCTCCAGGCCCCTCTCTTTTCATGGGACCAGTTGAATGTAGTCCTTCCTGTTACCAAAAGTGGTCAGATAATCAGGGGCTGTCCCTCTAGACACAATCCAGCCACTAGTCCTTTAAAAGTTAGAGTTTTTTAAAAATCACATTTTGTTTTTTTTTTTTTAAGTATATATGTATGTATGTATTTATTTATTTGTTGAGACAGGGTCTCCTTCTGTCACCCCAGCTGAAATATAGTAGCACAATCCTGGCTCACTGTAGCCTCTACCTCTTGGGCCCAAGTGATCCTCCCACCTCAGCTTCCCAAGTAGCTGGGACCACAGGTGTGTGCCACCATGCTTGGTTAATTTTTAAATTATTTTTGTAGAGATGGGATCCTCCTATGTTGTCCAGGCTGATCTTGAACTCCTGGCCTCAGGTGATCCTCCTGCCTTAGCCTCTCAAAGTCCTGGGATTACAGACATGAGCCACCATGCCTGGCCTACTTATTTATTGATTTTAGAGATAGGGTCTCACTCTGTCATCCACACTGGAGTGCAGTGGTGCAATCATAGCTTATTGCAGCCTCAAACTCCTGGATTCAAGAGATTCTCTCACCTCAGCCTCCCAAGTGGCTAGGACTACAAGTGTGTGCCACCATGCCCAGATAATTTTTTAATTTTTTGTACTTTTTATTTTTTGTAGAGATGGAGTCTCTGTGTTACCATGGCCGGTCTTAAAACCCTGGCCTCAGGCTATTCTTTTGCCTAAGCCTCTTAACATGCTGGGATTACAGGCATGAGCCACTGTGTCAGGCTAAAAATCACATTTCTTCATTTTATACATAACATTCGGTGCCTAAACCAAAACTCTTCTGTTATCATCAAGGGTCATCCTTGATTATCCTGCTTAATCCTTAAGGCCCACAACTGATCACCAAGGTGGGTTCTCATTCCAAAGGAGTGTCTACTTGTTGGGGCCATGGGTTGGTTCTCAGGTCCTATAAATGGACTTGTTCCAGGGGCCCCAACCAAGACTGTGTGACAATCCAATAAAATACAATAAGAAAGCCAGAATCAGCTGGGCACGGTGGCTCATAAATATTTACCTCATAATGTTATGCCCAGACCGTTTGTTCCCCAAAGAAGACCACCAGAGTCCAGAGTCAAAGCCAAGCGGCAAGGATCTTTTACTGCAAGTTCGAACTTGGTCCCTCCATTCCACAGCATACAAGAGGCCCTCGAACAATGCGAGTGCTTGCCTTTTATAGCCCGAGGTAAATAGGATAGTAAAGTTACAGAGGAACAAGGGAATTCTTTTGGTTACAGCATTACAATTGGTTTACATTTTAAGTTATACGTTTAGTAGTTTTTCTATTGGTTCCCGCGCTTTCAGTAAAACCTCAAACACTGTGTCCTTATCGGGGATTTTCCAGGTGGTGTTTGTCAGGAAATTGAGAGATATATGGTGGGATGTGTTTGTACTGGGCTCAGGAAGTCGAGAGATATATGGTGTTTGTACTGGGCTCAGGAAGTTGAGAGATATATGGTGGGATGTGTTTGTACTGGGCTCAGGAAATTGAGAGATATATGGTGGGATGTGTTTGTACTGGGCCTGTTTGTGTTGAGCCCGGGGCTGAGGAATGTGCCTGATTTCTTTCAATAAATATTTATTATATGGTGTCAATAAACATTTACCTATATCATTTTTAGTGACTGAATAATAGTTCAGTAGAATAGATCTACTATACTTTATTTGAAATATCTTATTAGGTATTTAGATCATTTCCAATTTTTTACTTCTATAAACATCACCATAATGGACATCCTTGTAAAATACATTTCTGTTGTCTATGCCCATTTTAAATAAGCTTTTGATAGATATTGCCAAACTGCCCTCCAGAATTGTACATTTTCACTAGTCGTGAAGCAGCATGTCAATTTGACTATTGGAAATTGGTAGCTGAATGTGGTTTTAATTTACATTTCATTGATCAATGAAGTTGAACATTTTCCTCATAGACTTGTTGCTTGAGGCCATTTTCAAAAGGAAATAGGATCACTGGGTGAGCAGTGTTCTGTTCCTCTAGTCTCCCTATCAGTGCAAGCCACTATTTACTCAGTAAGGGAAAGGGCCAACCTAGAGAAACATCTTAAAGCAGGCAAGACTCCTCACTAAGAACCCATCCTCCCAGATGAGATTCCAGTATCCCCCCTCACCTCGCAAAACCTACCGTCAAGGAAGAACTGAAAGCTCATTTATACTAGACTAGAAGTAATTAATAGCACTTTTGCTGAGCTATCCTTCCCAGGGTGTGGGGAGGGCGGGCGGGTATTTAACCCTTCTAAAAGCCTCAAGTGAAGGGAACAAAGCTGTCAAAATTACAGGCTTTCCTCAGGGGGTGGTAGAGATGTTTGGGGCAGGTGGAAGAAGTCAGTTTTTCCAGATCCATAAGAATTCTAGCACCCTCCTTACCAGGATGTAGGCAGGCCTCCGAGAAGAAGAGGTTGATCACTGGACAGAAGGCTTGTGTTTCAGCATTAACCCCTGTACTCCCTGAGGCGCCATTCTGAACTTTAGTTAGGAGGTGCCTTACAGAGTTCTTTACAACTATTGGTGCCTAATGTGTGTGGATGGTGAGTTCCAGTGTGGTGGCATGATATTAAAATATATGAACTAACACCTTTTCTGCAAGATATCAGGCTGCTTCAGATATAACATGAGATCCTAACTTGTGACTCAATATTTCTTTGGAGAGTTGTTTCATGGAAAAAAAATTACTGAAGGAAAAAAGCCTGTATTTATGAAGATGTTTGTTGCAACACAAATGGGGTAGTAAATTATGGTACAACTGCTAGATTAAAAATTACACAATCATTAAAAATAATCATCAGGACATAGGAAAATGTTCCTTTATATAAAAGTAAATGAAAAAATTACATCTATACATATGTATAAAAAATTATGCCCAATCATACTTTAAAATTTATATGTAGGCCGGGCGCAGTGGCTAACGCCTGTAATCCCAGCACTTTGGGAGGCGAGAACGTGGATCCAGTCCCGGAGATCAAGACCATCCTAGCTAACATGGTGAAACCCCATCTCTACTAAAAATGCAAAAAAATTAGCTGGGTGGTGGTGGTGGGCACCTGTAGTCCCAGCTAACTTGGGGGGGCTGAGGCAGGGGAATGGTGCAAGCCCAGGAGGCAGAGCTTGCAGTGAGCCGAGATCACGCAGTGCGCTCCCACCTGGGCGACAGAGCAAGACCTCGTCTCAAAAAAAATAAAAAATAAAAAATATTATATGCAGGGCCGGTGCATGGCTCACGCCTGTAATCCCACCATTTTGGAGAGGCCGAGGCAGCGGAATCACCTGAGGTCAGGATTTGAGACCAGCCTGACCAACATGGTAAAACCTGGTCTCTAACTAAAATACAAAAATTAGCTGGGCGTCGGGTGGCAACACCCTGTAATACCCGCTACTCGGGAGGCTGGAGGCATGAGAATCGCTTGTAACCTGGGAGGAGGAGGTTGCAGTAAGCCGAGATCGGCGCACTGCAACTCCAGCCTGGCAACAGAGTGAGGTTCCGTCCTCAAAAAAAAAAAAAAAAAAGATAATATAAATAAACAAATAAATAAAATAAAAATATATAAAATGAGTTCAGAAGAAAATACAGCTAAAAGCAGGATTTATATCTGGCTTCTGACATTAATAGTAATTTAAATTTTCTTCCTCATTCTTTTTGCATTTTCCAAGTTTTTGGCAGTAAGTTATGTGTTACTTTTAAAAATAATTTTTTAATCAAATAATTGTGAACGCTTATCATTATATGATTGTTGTACGGTAGAATATAAATGAATAAAAGCAGATTTTAAACACGTAGGTGTGCTATTACACATATTACACTTCTGTTTTGGGGGTAAATTGCAGATGAGCCTCTCTCTTACACCAGTTTCCATTGGTGTTGGGATTATATTGTTTATAGAACTATTACTAGTTACCTCTGTGATTTCTAGATCGAACAGGATATATTGTTTGGATAATATTTCTTCTGTTTTGGGGATCAGAACCAATATTACCAAACAATATATCCAAACAATAGGATCCAATAATAGTGGGGAGAGGATAAGTAGGCAGAGGATTGTTGGATCCTATTGTTTGGATTTCTACAAACAGAGCTGCTCCTCCAGCAGCCTGGGGGCTGTGTGAGAATGCTATTAATATGCAGATTATGACAAACAGCCAAGGATTGGTAGCTCACTTGATGCTTTTGAAATCACTTGTACACAGATTATCTCACCTCTCTCTCAACCATTCCAAATGACTGATTTAGGTCAAGGACAGATGAACTTGTAATTTCACAGAACTGGAGGCATGGGAAACTAAGGAAACCTGTAATCAAATTTGAACAGAAGGTCTTCAAATCCAAAGTACTTGATTTGAATTAATAGTGTTATAAAAGTTTTTTCAAAAATCTGAGTGGCGATGAGAGGGTCAGATGATGACCCAGCTGTGGGAAGAGAGCGTGGGGATGGGCCGAGAGCAAGGTGTGTATATTAGTGCTGTGCTTCCTGTTCCTTTTCTAGTCGTGAGCCCTCAGGCAAGTTACGGGAGCTCCCTGAGCCTCATTGGCCTCATCTGTAAAATGGGACTGGTAATAAGAATGGGTTGTTTGAGGCCAGGTGCAGTGGCTCATGCCTATCATCCCAGCACTTTGGGAGGCTGAGGCAGGAGGATTGCTTGAACCCAGGAGTTTGAGCAACATGGTGAGACCCCATCCCTAACCATGAAAATCTAAAACTTAAAAATTACAAGAAAATTTAAAAATTACCTGAGCATGGTGGTGCACACCTATAGTCCCAGCTACTTGGCAGGCTGATGCAGGAGGACCACTTGAGCCCAGGAGGTCAAGGCTGCAGTGGGCCATGATTACACACCACTGCACTCCAGCCTGGGCAACAGAGCAAGACCCTGTCTTGGAAAAATGGGGGTAGGGGGGTGTTGTTTGAAAACCAAATGAGTTAATTTGTATGTATAACATGTGCAGAGCATGCTCATTAAGTGATAAGTATTGTATTTCTTATTTTCTGAAAAACCAGGAAAACAGTACTTTCTTACTTCTTTGTCAGAAGATGGGGCCAAGAGGGTGGGGAAGCCCACAGCCATTGTCTTGTCTTAGTAGGTCTAGGAGGCAGTGGGAGGGCCTCTGTCATCCTTGCATGCTTGAGAAGAAGGAGAATTATACGGCAGTGACCCCAAAGGTCAACCTTGAGCAGCTGGAGGATAAGGGAGGCGGGCATCACTCACTTTGCAGTTTTGCCAGTGTGTCACTGTGGCTGACTGACCACCTCTGGCCAAGTTTGAAACAAAGACGGGTGAGCTGAAATTCACATCACTGAGAGGCAGTGGAGCAGTGTGGTTCATGGTCTAGATTTAAAATTCAGTTCGGCTGGATTAGAATCCCTGTCTCTCCACATCCCGGCTGTGTGCATCTGGCCATGTTACTGAGTCCCCCTTTGCCTCAGTTTCCTCATCTGATGAAAAAGGAATGATGATGATGATGATGATAACAGTACCTACCTCTCAGCGTTGTTTTGAAGATTAAATGTATAATGTGTATCCATCTGTATAAAGTGTTTAGAACTGCATCTGGCATGTGGCAGGGGTTTGCTCTTATTATTAGGCACACTCTGTGGAATGCATAGGAGAGACAATTTAGGTCAGAAAAGATGTCTGAGATTTTGTTTCCCTGGATCACAGTTTACACTGGTAGACAGGTGGCAGAGAGCTTCAGAAAGGCTTGTTCAAGTTCAGATAGTCAGACGGCAGGAGGGAGGCCGAGAACCTTGGCTCCTCAACCCTTGGTCTCTATGCTCCCTGTGTAGCCACACTTGTGAATCCAGGCAAAGGTGTGTCATGAATATGAGACATCATCAGCTCTCTCATTGCTATGTCACCTCTGTGGGACCCCAGGAATCTATAGGCTCCCCACCTTAGCTGGAATAAAAGCTGGAATAAAGCAGATAACAGGGTCAGCAGAGTCATTTGGGACTGCAGACAAGTTCATGGGAAAGGAAAGTTACTTGTTTGGTACCAAAAGCCACCCGCCAGCTAAAGAAACAACCCTGCCCTGGGGGTTGGAATGGCAGCTCCCACTGAGCCAACTGGCCCAGCATTCCGGGGATTCAGACAACCAAGAGCATGTACTCTGGAAGGAATATCATGGCAGAAAACAGGTCCTCACGGTTACTACTGGTCATGTGACCCTCTGGTAAAGGCAGAGAAGGAAATCTGAATTTTCCGTAGGAAACAGCAGAGAAGGAAACAGCAGAGAAGGAAATCTGAATTTTCCGTAGGAAGATGTGTTCTAATAAGGTTCTGATCTTTTCAATATCATTCATTACTTAATATAAAATATTATGCCAAAACATAATACCAAATAAATACCAAAGTAAACCATGCAAATCATAAACAATTAGAAAATACAGAAAACATAATGAAGAAAGTAGAATTATCATTTTTTGTGTGGTTCTTTTTGGCTGTTTATGTATATATAACTTGATATAATTTAGGTTATAAAGTACATTAAATTGTATATTCTGAATTTGGTATATTATTTCTTTTATTTATTATTTATTTATTCTTGAGACAGGGTCTCACTCTGACACCAAGGCTGGAGTGCAGCGGTACGATCATGGCTCACTGCCTTGACCTCCTGGGCTTGAGCAATCCTCCCACCTCAGCCTCCTGAGTCACAGAGATAACAGGTGTGTGCCATCATGCTCGGCTAATTTTTGAAATTTTTTGTAGAGCTAGGATCTCATTATCTTGCCCAGGCTGATCTTGAACTCCTGGGGGCAAGCACTCCACCTGCCTTGGCCCCCCAAAGTGCTGGAATTACAAGGGTGAGCCACTGTTCCTGGCCTGCTTTTGGTATATTATATCATAAGCATTTTTCATGTCATTAAATATTCCTTAAAAATATCATTTTTAATAGCTGCAAAGCATTCTGTTGGATGGATGGACCATAATTCTTTGAACTATTGTTAGGTTATTTTCCATTGTTTTTACAGCTACAGGAATGCAGCCCTAGATCACTGTACTTTAATATGTGTGCACACCTCTGATTATGTCCTGAGGTTAAAATCCTGACATAGACTGGCTACTGAGGTTTTGCTTCTGCCCTTAGGAAGGACTCAAAACTCCCCTTTCAGGGCCCCTTGGGAAGGAGGAGGAGAAGGGGTGAAGACAGTGGTTCAGATGCAAAATCATTCTCAGGACATGGTGGTAAAAGGTGAGGGTGTCAGTGATAGTAGGTTGGAAATGCTAGTGTCCACATGGGGGCCTCTCTCTCTAGCTTCCCACTTTTGGGGATCTGTTCTCTAGTCTCCTGACTTGCCATCTTAGAAACCTGTCTCAAATGACTTTAGCAAAAGGGAGAGTCAATTGCAAGAATCCTGAAATATCTTCTGTAATCAAAAGAAGGGCATTTGACCAAACCATGGGAAGGGCAGGGATACAGCTGGCCCTGGACCAACCAAATAACCCCCTAGGAGGTTATTTGGTTGGAATATGAACCTTCCACTTTGACCTAAAGGAGTTGGGGCAGGACAGTGCTCTCAGAAAAAGGAGATACTAGTTTCTAGAGAAAGGGAAGGCTCATGGCCTTTTGGGTGTTGTTTTCTAAGAAGCTGAGGTGGCAAGATGGACCTGGGGCTGCTGCCTCCCACTAGGGGCACTACCTGCCCATGCGGTGGAAAAGTCTAGGTGTGGGAGCCTTTGTTCTGGTTTTGCTCGAGGCCTTAGGGAGGAACATTCTTTTCTTTTAGGTTGTCTCACTGTTTCTTCCTGCTTTCAGGTTGGTGAGTCCTCTAGGACAAAGAGATTCAAGTATGGATCTTGGGGACAAGAGTGAAGGCAGCCAGTAGAGGGTCTAAGTCTTCACTCAAAGGTATACAGTTAGCACTGTGGGCTTCCACAAGGTGCAGTCCAGCTCAACAACCTGAAGCTTTCACACAGAGATGTGGGGCCAAAATGAGTCAATAACAAATGCTGTGCTTTTGCCTAGAGTGTCCCTAGTGCATATCTTCCTCCTGTACCTGTGGTAGAAGAAGGCTGGGAGTCCTAGCCAAATATCTGTCCAGCTCTTCATCACTATCCAGAAGGGAAGAACATGTTTAGGGCTTTTGAGACACATTGCCAAATTGCTCTGTTAAAAATGGAATATTTTGGTATCAAGCGAGAAGTCCAAACCAGGGGGCTCCTGCCAGTCCTGGGCACGTCATCCTCTCAATCAGCTCTAAGTAGCATGCCAGCATTCTGCACAGGATAGAGTTCTCCTTAGAATTGGTTGATCAGACATGACAGTCACAATCATACCAAAGTTATTTGACAAAATATCGTATTGCTTTCTTCAATATAATGTTCTTATATCATTTTAAAAAACAGTTCCTGCTTTTTTTTTAAGTAAAAAAAGTTGCTAGGGGAATGGAATACTTTCAAATGGTGTCGAATTCAGAAGAGCTTCATTGGGACACTGTTTTGCTGTGCTTTTTGTTGCCACTGAAGTTTCCTTCTCGAGCACAGGCATTAGCATTCTGGTTGTAGGCTTTCTGCTTTCTCAGGGGTTGGTATTTTTTTGAAGACTGGCCAAACATAGATGAACACCTCATTGCAAGGACTGCCTACCATGACCTCTCTAAGCAGCAACGTGCTGTGATTCGCAGTGAGCCAGGAGGGCATGTGACAAGCTCACACCAGTAGCCACAGACTGGGATTAGCTGAAACATCAAACCCTGTGTGGTTGTTGTATAGTTGCATGATTGAATCAAAGAATGTTAGAGCTGGAAGGACCCTTGGAGACCATAGACTTCAACCCTTTCCACCAGATCTACCCACCTTACAAATAAAGGAACTAAGACCCAGGGAGAGGAAAAGGCTTGTCCATGGTTACACAAGCAGAATAATCAGAATCAAGAATAAGGTGAGGCCAGGCGTGGTGGCTCATGCCTGTAATCCCAGCACTTTGGGAGGCTGAGGCAAGTGGATCATCTGAGTTCAGGAGTTGGAGATCAGCCGGTCAACATGGTGAAACCCCATCTCTACTAAAAATACAAAAATCAGCTGGGCATGTTGGTGGGTACCTGGAATCCCACCTACCCGGGAGGCTGAGGCAGGAGAATCGCTTGAACCCAGGAGGCAGAGGTTGCAGTGAGCCGAGATTGTGCCACTGCACTCCAACCTGGGTGACAAGAGCGAGACACCGTCTCAAAAAAAAAGAATTAGGTGAAATTTTTACAGTGTTAAAAAACAAGAATCATCAGCCTAGGATCCTGTACCGAGTGAAATTATCCTTCCAAAGAGGAGAGGCTTTCAGTTTTCAGTCTCGCAGGTAAGGGGCATGGAAGTCATCGCTTCATCCTGGCAACAAGTAAAAAGCTAAACAAACTGAAAAGCTAACTCGTTCTAGATCTGTCAAGGAAGTGAGGTCACAGGACAAACTACTGCCCCCCAAATTAGAGACAGCCAGGCAGATAATGAGAATCCAAACTTACTGGAGCAGAAACCCACAAGCAGAAACCTCTGAGAGCCAGTGTCACTGCAGGAAAAACCTGCTCTATGATTAACGAACGAATGGCTGGAGGCTTGGTAATGACAAGTCTGACAGTTAAGAGCCCCAGGGACCCAGTTACAGGTAAGACACTTTTGTGAGTTTACCTTCTGGAGTTCTCCCAGGTTCTCAGAGTGACGATTGAAGGAAAATCCCTTTATGTTCCTGGAGGAGGAAGGGAAAAGGAACCATTTTGAAATATACCAGAGCATTCTGGTCCCACTTAACAAGGCCTACCCCAAGAGAAACTATTATATCAGGATCTGCCCTATTGGGGTTTAATTAGAGCTGACCCAGGGAAGGGAAATATCCAACTCCAGCCTCTTTTCCCATTCTGTCTCATGTCAAGGGGTGCAGGGGAAATGAGGAGCCCTTATAAAGTTCTCAGCCCTGATGCACAGGCTCCCTAAAAGACTGTGACCCAATCATAGGACTATAGAATGCTACCCCCACACCTCACATCACACCACTAAAGGTCTGTCTACCTAGTGCATCATGCCTGCCTTTCAATAAAAAATTACAAGGCATAAATTACAAGGCAAATTACGAGGCAAAAAGTTATAAGGCAAAAAACACTGTTCAAAGGGACAGGGCAAGCATCAAAACTAGACTCAGATATGGCAAAAATGTTGAAATTATAAGACAACATTATTCCACCAGGAACATTATCAGGCCAGGAATTTAGAACATTGTGAGGTCAGGAATTTAAAACAACTATGACAAATATGCTAAGAGTTCAAATGGAATAAGTAAACAACATGCAAGAGCAGATGAATGCTATAAGAAGATAGATGGAAAATCTAAGACAGAATAAAAAAATCAATGCTAGAGCTCAAAAACACTGCAACAGAAATTAAGAATGCCTTTGATAGGCTGGGCATGGCTGAAGAAAGAATCTCTGAGCTTGAGGATTATGTCCATAGAAGCGCCTAAAACTGAAAAGCAAAGAGAAAAAGGAAGGAAGAAACAAAACAAAAACAAAAACCCAGGACAGAATCGTGGGACAACTATAAAACATACAATATACATTTAATGGGAATACCAGAAGAAAAGGAAAGGAAGAAAGGAATAGAAGAAATATTTAAAACAATAATAACCGAGGCCAGGCATGGTGGCTCACACCTGTAATCTCAGTGCTTTAGGAGGCTGAGGTGGGTAGATCACTTCAGGTCAGGAGTTCAAGACCAGCCTGGCCAGCATGGCGTTTCCTCATTCAGTCTATTCCTGTGAGATCCTACCCTTTTGGTCTAATCACATTTCTACATGGTGGCCAATCATGCCTTTCCAAGCTCTACTAAACATACAAAAACAATTAGCTGGGCATGGTGACACACGCCTGCAATCCCAGCCACTTGGGTGGCTGAGGCACAAGAGAGAATTGCTTGAACTTGGGAGGCAGAGGTTGCAATGAGCCGAGATCACGCCATTGCATTCCAGCCTGGGCAACAGAGAAAAACCCTATCTAGAAAAACAAAACAAAAACAAAAACAAACAAACAAAAGATAATAACTGATAATTTCCCTCAAGTTAATATCAGATACCAAACCACAGATCCAGGAAGCTCAGATAACATCAAGCAAGATAAATGCCAAGAAACTCCCGCATTTAGCATAAAATATTCAAACTGTAGAAAATAAAAGATAAAGAAAAAATCTTGAAAGAAGCCATAGGAGAAAACAACTTAGTACATGGAGGAGCAAAGATAAGAATTACATCTGACTTCTCTTTAGACACCACACAATTGACCAGGTGTGGTGGCTCATGCCTGTATTCCCAGTACTTTGGGAGGCCGAGATGGGAGGATCACTTGAGCCAAGGAGTTTGAGACCAGCCTAGCCAACATAGTGAGATCCCATCTCTACAAAAAATTTAAAAATTAGCTGGGCTTGGTGGTGCATACCTGTAGACCCAGCTACTCTGGAAGCTGAGGTAGGAGGATTGCTTAAGCCCAAGACTTCAAGGATGCAGTGAGCTATGATGGTGCCACTGCATTCCAACTTGGGGACGGAGTAAGACCTTGTCTCTAAAAAAGTTAGGAGACAAAAAGAAAAGAAACCATGCAATTAAGAATAGAATGGCTTGAAACGGTGTTGAGTTGAGGGGAGGAAAAAAAAGACCCAACACCAACCTAGAAGTTTATAACCTGTGAAATTATCCTTCGAAAGTAAAAAAGACTTTTTCAGACAAACAAAAATTCAGGGAATTTGTCACCAGCAGACCTGCCTTGCAAGAAATGTTAAAAGAAGTTCTTCTGAGAGAGGAAATGACATGGGTAAGTGTGATCATATGATAGATACATATTGGTCTTCATCCACAGTTCCTGGTGCGTAACTCCCATAGCCCTTGTTACAGTCTTTTGTTATAATATTGGGACACTATAGGTCTCTGAAGCAGGCCTCAGGAAACAGAATCTCTCTCTCTGACCTTTTCCTGCCCTCCCTTCATCTGCCAGAGAGGGTCCTGTCACCTACCCTGGAGGAAGGAATGCTACACAGATAGACCAAAAAGAATCTGGACAGGCCTTGCTGAGTTTCCCCACTCAGTCTATTCCTATGAGATCCTACCCTTTTGGTCCAATCACATTTCTACATGGTGGTCAATCATGCCTTTCCAGTGACGTCTCCCTAAAAGGCCCAAGATAAGTTGTGTGCTTGGCATGCACCCGTAATCCCAACTACTTGGGAGCCTGGGTGACTGAGGCAGTTGTTCAAGGCCAGCCTGGGTAACATAGCAAGACCCCCTCTCTAAAAAAAGCAAAACCAAAACCAAAACAAAATGCCCAGGAGGACAAAATTTGGGGAGCTTCCTGGTAGCTGAAGACCTGGAGATTCCTGGAGGGCAGTGGGTCCAGGGAGGGCATGGAGGGTCCGTGCTCCTTTTTCCATACTTCACCCTATACGTCTCTTCATCTGTAATATCCTTTATAATCAGCTGGTGTCTGGCAGTGGTAGGGGCCAGCCTTGGGGACAGAGCCCTCAACTTGTGGGATCTGATGCTACCTCCAGGTAGATAGTGTTGGAGTTGAATTGGAGGCCACTCATTGGGTGTCCACTGCAGACTTGATTGCTTGCTTGGTGGTGGAGAGAAACACTTCTCACATCTGGTCACAGAAGTCTTCTGTGTTGATGACTTCTGTTTTGAGTGAGAGAACAGAAAAAGCATGTTGAGGGTTACACACACACTCTCTCTCTCTCTCTCTCTCTCTCTCTCGCTCTCTCTCTTACAGTAAGGTATGCAGATCCACATGAAGAAAAGAAGAGCATTAAATGAAAAATTCCCCATCTCTGCAGTAAAACATCCGAACAAAACAAATACATTCCCAAAACATCTGCTTCTGGACTGAGTGTATGTAGTTGGAAGAGGGAAAGGAAAGATGATCCAGAGTCTTTGGGGGAAAGACGTTGCCCTGAAGGAAAAGGGAAGGAAGGAGCCCCCAAGGCTAAAGGAAGGGGCTCAGTGACCTGGTCGAGCCTGGACTGGCAGGGGTTACTTCTGCTTGAGAGTGGGGCCTGGAACACTGCTACCCCAGGTGGGGAGAGGAGTTAGAGGAGGGCAAAACGTGCATGGGGAGGTCTGTGACGAGAAAAAGCCCATGAAATGGCATCTCATCTAGCCACAAGCCAAGTATGGATCTCAGGGAAGGGCTGGGTATGTGGCTCATGCCTGTGATTCCAACACTTTGAGAGACCAAGACAAGAGGGTTGCTTGAGCCAAAGGAGTTTGACACCAGCCTGGACAACACAGCGAGATCCCCTCTCTGCAAAATTTAAAAAAAAACAATAGGCCCAGCGTGGTGGTGCATACCTGTAGTCACAGAGACTCAGCAGGCTGAGGCCAGAAGGATTGCTTCAGCCCACAAGCTTGAGGTTGCAGTGAGCTATAATCACACCACTGCACTCCAGCCTGGGTGACAGAGTGAAACCTTTTTTCTGGGTGACAGAGTGAGACCTTATCTCTAAAAATTTTTAAATTAAAAAACAGATGTCTTAATAAGCACTTATTAAATACCTTCTATGCTTCCCAGCCTTTGAGTGTTAAGGGTTCATGCAGTTCTTTAATTTGAGGAGTTATCCTTCTCACCCTTAACCACTAACTCAGTATCTCCCTCCCTAAGCAATCAATATGATTTTTACCATAGAGGAATTCATACAGGAAAGGGCTTTATGCCTAAGGCTGTCCATCTATTGTCTGAAGAAGGCCTGCCTTCAAAAACATGTAATCATGTGATGTAGAATATTAGAGGTTCAGAAAGGGAAACAGCAACTCAATAAGCTTTGCTAACTACTGAATCCAGTCCTTCCATATCATAAGTGCTCAAGAAATTTTATGGACTAGTTGAAAGGATCTGGACAATGCCTCTGTTAGGAATTGTTTATCACCAGGACCAGTTATAAATCAGTGTCTTCATTTATTTTGTTTTTATTCATTCAAGAAATATCTATTGAGTCCCTACTATGTGGCAGCAACTGATAATGGAAAGGTGAATGAGTCAGTCCCTACCCCTGAGAACATTAAGGAATAATCGACACGGAGGGTCCCTGGAACCAATGTTGCTAAATAAATAACCGACCCTGGGAAAGAGTAACCACACTTAAAAGGTGTCTTATGCTGGACTGTGTTTAGTTCCTGGGAAGTGTCCCCCTCGGGGAGGCACCATGTGTAAGAATGGGAGTTGTGCCATTTGCCAGTTACTACTTATATAATCCTAAGTTATCTAAACTCATGAGCCTCAATCTCTTTAAAAGCGGCGTAATAATCACACATACCTGACAGTGCTGCTGTGAGGATTTGAGAAGAAAATGAAATAATCCATGTTATTAATCACTTTGCTCAGTTTCTGGCACTCAGTAAGAATACATACATTTAGTAGATATTTATGGGCTGAATTCCTTGTGGAAAGGGATTACATTTTAGTCTCTTTGTTAAATACTTCGAGGAATAGGACAATCAATCACACAAGAGGTGGGATCTAAAATGACTCTTCGTAATGATGTGGCCCAAAGAGTATTTCTTGGAGCACCAAAGCCAACAAGCTCTTTCTTCATAAAATAGTTGGAGAAATTCTGCTGGCAATGCAATTGCCTTCTCTTGAAGATTCATAATGTATATCAGTAGATTAAGGATGTTAGAAGAGTTTGTAATGAAGAAACCTGTTTAACTTTATTTAGTTCAATGTTTTCTAATCTTATTGGACCAATAATATAGCCTGGAAAAACCCAAACTCCTGAAGCTTCAACTTGGAAGGAGATTCTGGGCAGAGAGAGATGGTTGACGCCAGAGCCCCTGCCTCTCCTGAGGGTTTCTCCTTCCCCATGGAGTTCTCACTTTACTCTCTGCTGTTGCCATCTATTGACTTCCAGGTTGTTCAGACGCCTCATTAAAACTCACAGTAGAGCTGATGCTGGCTGAAATATTACAAAGACTTTGCTAAACATCAGAGGGAGTTTAGAAAAGAAACATCAAGAAACACATCAGACTGGGCGCAGTGGCTCACGCCTGTAATCCCAACACTTTAGGAGGCTGAGGTGGGCAGATCACTTTAGGTCAGGAGTTCAAGACCAGCCTGGCCAACATGGTGAAACCCCATCTCTACTAAAAATACAAAAATCAGCCGGTGTGATGGTGCACTCCAGCCTGGGAAGGGCAACAGAGCAAGACCCTGTCTCAAAAAAAAAAAAAAAAAAAGACAAAAGACAAAAAAGAAACACATGAAAGCCTGATGGGAGTTGTGGCCCCTACACAGCCAGCTGCTGGTAGGCATTGTCCCCTTGAGACCCTGCCTCCTTTCCATCCCTAACAGGCTGGTCGATCTGTGATCAACCCAATCCCAGTCCCCAATGCCAGCTGCCCCAAAGGAACCCGTCCCTTCCTGACCGCCCACACCGGTCTGGGGGCCACCACTGGCTCTTTAAGATATCACACTTGGGCCTATGAAGCTTCTCTTAATTAACTGACAAGCAGACACTGGGTTAGACCAATTAAATGAGCTCAGGGATGACTCACTGGAAGGAAATGCAGAGATAAGGAACCAGATAATCTGATTCACGTGGTCAGCCTCTCTAGATTCTAGTTTATTTACCTGCAGAATGTCAGAGATGATGGATTTATCCAACCTCTGACTATGATTCTAAAATATCCTATAGCTTGGATCTCCCTGTCAGATAATAAGTCAGTTCTACTGGATTATTTTTTAATGTAACAAGATAAAAATTCTATGTAGAACTTACTTCTTTTTGAGACGGAATCTCGCTCTGTCTCCCAAGCTGGAGTGCAGTGGCACGATCTCAGCTCACTGCAACTTCTGCCTCCCGGGTTCCAGGGATTCTCCAACTTCAGCTTCCCAAGTAGCTGGGATTACAGGCGCACAACACCATGCCCAGCTAACTTTTTTTATTTTTAGTAGAGACGGGGTTTCACCATGTTGGCCAGGCTGGTCTCACTCCTGACCTCAAGATATCTGTCCGCCTTGGCCTCCCAAAGTGCTGGGATTACAGGTGTGAGCCATCACACCCCACCAGAACTTTCTTTAAAATAATAAAAACAAACAAACAAACAAACAAAAACAAGCCTGTAAATCCCAGCACTTTGGGAGGATGAGGTGGTAGGATCACAGGGTGAGGAGTTTGAGACCAGCCTGACCAACAGGCTGAAACCCCATCTCTACTAAAAACACAAAAATTAGCCGGGCGTCATAGCGTGTGCCTGTAATCCCAGCTACTCAGGAGACTGAGGCAGGAGATAATTGCTTCAACCTGGGGGAGACGGAGGTTGCAGTGAGCTGAGATCCTGCCACTACACTCCAACCTGGGTGACAGAGCGAGACTCTGTCTCAAACAAACAAAAAAACACTGGAGTTCTTTAGCTCTTAAAAAGTCTGAATTAGTTTTCCCCACACAGATATGGTCAGGAAGAAATGAGAAAACATGACTCTGACCTTGGGCAATTTCAGTTTCTACCTGATCCCTTTCCCCTTCCCTTTCCTCTAACATTACTCTTTTTTTTTTTTTTCCCCCTGAGATGAAGTCTCACTCTGTCGCCCAGGCTGGAGTGCAGTGGTGCGATCTCAGCTCACTGCAACCTCTGCTTCCCAGGTTCAAGCAATTCTCCTGCCTAAGCCTCCTGAGTAGCTAGGATGACAGGTGTGCACCACCACGCCCAGTTAATTTTTGTATTTTTAGTAGAGATGGGGTTTCACCATGTTGACCAGGCTGGTCTCGAACCCCTGACCTCATGATCCACCCGCCTCGGCCTCCCAAAGTGCTGGGATTACAGACGTGAACCACCACGCTTGGCCCATTACTCTTAAAATTATAAGATCTCACCCAAGGTAGAGGAAATCACTTAACTCATCCAGGGATAAGAACTTTTGTTAAAGGGTTGGTTTATTCCTTCACACACTTTGCACATACACAATCCTTCCCACCCCAACCCCCCCGCCTTTTCAATTGTTTATGGTCTGGTTGCTACTTCCAGGTATTTTGGGGTACCAGCAGGGAGACAGAAATGAGCAGGATGTATGGGAGAGTCAAATGCCCCTCTCCAAACAATTAAAGGCCTTCCTTATAAATGGCCTCTCTCTCTAAATATAAAAACTAACTATAAGAATCTCAAACTATCAGCCCTAAGAAACCAGGTCTTGTAGGATTGTAGAGTTGGCTGCTATGAAGGGAAGACTGGAAAAAGTGCCTCCAGAGACACAGGGGAGGTCCACAGCCTAATAGTTAAAATACTCATCACTTTCAAGAACTTTCCTAACCCCTTTAGTTCTTTGATGTTAAGCAGGGAAGAGGGAGGCTTGGAGACCAGGGATGTCCTCCCAGGTTGTGCTGGGACCTGGGTAACCCTCAGGGCTGCCCTCAGGAGCCCTCTGCCCCTTGAACACTATGCTTGGTAGGAGTTACTGAAGGGCTGTGTATACTGAGTAAGCCCTTTCCTATCAATAAACCTCCATCAAGTCTTCAGAGCAATACCTGTCAAGAAGGATATGATACTTAGGGTGATGGTGACTGGGTAGGGAAAGGCTGATTTCTTTCAAAATCAGAAACAGAAAAATATACTGAAATAGACAATTGTTCTTAGTGTTGAAATATCATCCTGATTTCTCTGATAGTGCTACTTCCTAGGAAGTCACT